GTTTTTTTTCATTCTATATATTTCATTTTTACTATAGCATAAGATATAGTGAATTATATGTTTATTATTACATAAAAATAATAAAAATCTGTGTCATAAATCTGTATGTAATCATGACTCTGCAATAAAAAATCTTCTTTGTCTCTGACATGCAGCTTTAGGAAAAACTTTGCCCAGATTCTTTTAATCACCGTTCAAGTAACTCTATATGCAGATGGACCCAAAGTGGGAATTTCAGCCTCGCTTTGGAGTTCATCTGAAGACTTTGAACTTGAACCAGTGTATGTCTGTGTCCCTGAGACCCTTAACCTGTGATGTCTTCAAAGGTCACAGGTGAGGTCCTTGGGAACACAGCTGTATATGATGACATCAGTCATTAAAAACACATGACACATGGTCTCTCGGCAACATCTTGACACAGACGAGTCTGATTTTGGCATGATTTTATGATTTGAATGACACATTATCCTGGGTAACTGCTAAATAAATTCATATACTTCCCTCCGAAGAGTCACATTCAGATTCCCCTCTGGTTCGTCTTTCCTCTGAACCCGTCTTGTGTCGTGACTGACATTATCACAGGCACACCATTAGCACGAGTGACTGCCTAGCGACTTGAAACTCGCTAGGCTACTTCTACTCCACGTTACCTGAAACGGCACCACAGATTTCCAGACATCCGTGGTATCAGCTTCAGACCACTTTGACGCAGCTGTTGGGGACGGTACCTATTGGCTGACTTTGTGCCCTGACCACACGGAGCGACCAATCCAAAGCCAGCCTAGGTTCACGACCCCTATACATTTCTCCCGAGGCTTCGATGCGAATCTGTTCCATGAAACCATTTTACGGGTTAGCCTGCCATCTTGTGCTCATTAATGCCAAACGCTTTGGTGATGGATGTTGCCCCGGAGCGGCTCATACGAGACATGTTGTTTGTATTCTTTTTCTGCAGAGAACATAATTATATTTTACAGCGTGAACATGAAGAGAATGTATAGGCGTTGTTTATTTTTAAAATTAGATACAGTTTGGTACTATATCTGTAAAATATGTAGGCTGTATGATTCATTACATGATTCATATGTATATCATTATGTTTGTACTTAGTGTCATATGGAGCATATTTCAGCATATTTTTCTTATGCGTCCTTGATGGTGATCTTATTTAATAATTTATCCAATGCGTTCATTTAGCATTTTTGCATAACCTGAAATGACAAAATCTGATCTAAAACATTGTACAGTGACCTGAAAATCAAAGCAAACTTGTGGATAATTCGTGACCATATTATATAATGTGCGTCACATTTTCTCTCAACCATATGTTCATGTCTGTTGTTCTACCCAGCGCCTCAAGCCATGAAACCAAACAGTTATGATTAAGTTATACACAAAGCAGAGGATCTCTTCAAAAAGTCCCCTGGATCTGAGTAGGCAAAGAGTGACTGTCCCTCTCCTTTCTGCTGGTGCTTTGAGACATCAGATACGGAACATCAACCTCCACCATCTGGTATGCAGTGGATTCATTTAAAAGCTATACCAGAAAACTGTTTCACAACAATGCATAGAGCTGATGAGATTGAGCATTGAAATCAACAAGTGGTCTCCTAAATGGTCTCCTTCCGACAAACACACGCAGGGTGCCAAATAGCCTTTTTTTCTAGAGCGTATTTTCATTTTGAAAGCCCCTCACCATTATCAAGCGTGAAGTGGTTTGAATATTTGCCCATGTTTTGTGTAAAGCAATTGGTTCCTTACCAAATGTCTTGTTTCAATGGATAAGTCAGAGAAAATCTACAATTGCACATAATGTTTGGAAAGATGGGAATATAAAATGCTGAAGAAATCATTTAAAAAAGGCTTTCTGAGTGAGATGAAGACTATTGATGCCTACAACCTCACATTTTTCTTTAGTTGGTGCTTGAAGGACGTTTCCGAGCTCAATAAAATCTCACTATAATAGGGAAGTTAAGCACCCATCAGAGACTATAGACTAGTTATTTTCACTTCATGTATCTTGAAGATCCAGTGTGTTTTTCTACTCTATGATGTGCTGGATGGACTTACTGTCTTAACAGGATACAAATTTAGTCACATTATTGGATAGAATATCAGCCAATTTGCATTCCCTCATTCATCATCATACATTTTAATGGATAGCATACAATAAAGGCAATGAACATATACTCCATATTTCTTTTCAGTGCATTAAAGTGCAAAACCCATATATAAATATAGCAAACTATATGCATGATGTTATGTTTACTTATTTGCAATACAAGAAAAAGATGTCAAATAGCTATGTACTCAAAGTTTACTACTGTTACACTTATAAACTAAAAAGTAAACCAACTAGAAGTATTTAAATAATACACATAAAAGTGTTAATGCACTCATATTAGTATACTTACTACATAATATGTACTTGGAAAATATGCTAGAAACTTTTCTAAAGATTAATAAAATCAACTTTGTAAGGAAAGCATTATATTATACTTTGCTTGTAATTGTGTTATTTCACACATATTGGTTTATCTTGTAAACTTAGTAAGTAAACTTAAGTACACTTATGTTCAAGTTTATACGAAAAAAGCTTTGGGGTGAAATTGCCTTCTTTACAAAGTTAATTTTATTAATAATATTAACATAACATCTTATTAATCTTTAGTAAAGTTTAAAAAAAATGTTTTTTTCATAATTGTGTATGTATTTTAAAACTAATAAACTTAAGCATGTAAATTTACAAGATAGTATGTCAAAGTAGGCTATACTTGCAATTCTTAATTACACCTTTTTAATTAGGCCTACATCTCAATCAACAGATAAAGGGCCAGATTTACTAAACGGCAAATTAGTGTTAATGCGCAATTCAAAGTGCTGATTGGAGGGGAAAATTCTGCGTGTGATTTACTGACAATCCGCACATTAAAGACCACAGACGCGGCCAGATCATTTCCATAATGACCAGCGCAATCTATCAAGAGCAGTGCAAAATTACTGCCTACTTTAAGACATGCTTTTTTGAGCGTTAAAAAACACAGTGTGTCGATATACCGCATGGCTATGAGTGTGATACTGCATTTATACAACAGTTCGGCATGAGTGTGTAAATACATAAGAAACAACGGAGTGCCTTTTAAAGTCCTCTTTTGTGCAGGACTACTTCCTTCTGCCAAAGATTCAAATCTCAAGTTGACAGTTTAACAGCTGAGCCCCAGCCTCCATTACTAATTCGAAAACATCACTTTAGAACTAGTAACGAAAAAACATTGAGTTGCTTCATTGAACGCTTATTGTATTACTGTATTAAAAGCTCTCTGTATTATGTAGAGTCAAGTATTATGAGAAAGAGGTGGACTGAGCAAGTGTGATTACCTGCATCTGATGCAGCATTCATTCTTCAGCTCAATCTCATATTCACAACGAGCGCCAAAAGTTACATAGTGCTGCTTTAAGGGTGATTTCTGATGACAGCGCTGCTAAATGCATTTGTTGGCTGCGTCTTACAAGGTGTTGTTGAAAGTAAAAATAACTTCCTTGTTTACAACCCTGTTTCAGTCTCTTTCAGTATAAAAGTCTTTACTGCTGCTCACAGAGTCTCTGCAGAGCAAAAGTGGGCGTTACTGACTTTGTGGGTGTTTTCAAACTGCTAGGTGTTTCTAAATCATGCAATGAAAATGATCCCCGTTACCTGACCCCTAAACCTACCTGTCACTATGACATCAGCCAATCAGGTAACATGGTCGAAAATGCCTCTGTTTTGGCCTCGCCTACTGATCTGGTAACTCCCATGACTTCTCATCTAATGGTGGAACAATGTAACTAAAATCACCATCACGAACACACACACCGTTTCCCAATTAAATAAATTATTATTTATATAAAATATTATTTATTGAATAATAATATTTAATAAACAACAACAACAGCCATCATAAAAGTTGCTAGCCAATTCAGTCAAAAGTATACAGCGCTCTGATACAGCACTGAGGTTACACAAAATAACGTGATGAAATTTTGCCCTTAGCCAAAACAATTTGCTCTGGAACAAATAATAGATTAAGGAGAACAAAGACTGCCTGTTAAATTTACCCAAAGCAAATTATAGCCCATGTTTAACCACTATAGAGACATCAGAGCCAGCGGCAAATTCCAGAAGATCTGTTCTCGGCAGGTTCATGAGCACTGAATGGCCGCTGATGCTCTGGAGCTCACATCTCCGAAAAAGTCGAAGCAAATTTTCAAATAGATGTTATCTTTATTAACAAACTGCATATTTGAAGTCTAAAGTACATTCTCGCCTAAAACAAAATACATTCCGTGACAGAAAAACAGTATTATATATAATTGTTGTGGATTTGGGCGTCTGCTATGACACTCACTGTGAGAAATACTGCAAGCAGAGTGATACAATGGTGAAATGGTTGGAGTTCTGATATCGCACTCCTCTCAGCCAATCAGATTCCAGGACCAGAAAGAACTGTTGTATAAATGAATAAATAAATATTATTATTATGATTTTTTAAAGAATTATAATTACGTCTCCGGAGCTTTACGAGAAAAGGCACAGAAACATCTCTCTGATACAGTTTTGGAAGCGAAAAAATAACAGACAAATATAAGACCTAAATTCATGATTTGGTGAGATTATAAATATTTTCTCTCCTTTTAAAACTTTAGTACCTTTTTGCTGGACAAAGTCCTGCAACGGTCCATTCCCTGCTCTCTTTTTTATAGCTCTGCAATATAGGCCTAGTGGAAGTACAATAACACCCAAACATTTCACTTTTAATCAGTGACATAGCATTTATCAGTAGCACTTACAGAAAAACAGATAGGGCCCACTTCAGAATCATAATTAAAGGTGCAGTAGGAGATCTTGGAAAATGCTAACTTTCAGCATCGTCATTTAGTTTCAATCTTTCTGAAAATCCTTTCTGAAAATTCGTTTGTAAACGAATCCGCGATAAAAATGAAGTGAGCAAAGGACCAAGTTCTTACTGATGCAGTCTGGAACTTCATTAAAAATAAAGTTCATCCACTCTTTCCTAATGTTGGGCTCAGAAGGAAGGCAATGCAAAGACTATTTTTTCCACAACTTTGCACTACACAGTGTCTTGTTGTCTTTCTGAGCCTTTATCTTTATTGTTTGGTCACCTGCGGTCGCCTCTCTCCTAAATGGAATAATGGGGGTTGGTGTTAAAGTCGGCATGAAACGGAAGTTGCGGTCCTCTTTTCTTCTCTACTGTGACGTACGTATACCCGAGTGACACGGCATCTGAAATGAGAGGGCGGGACTTGATTTCGTCCTTCAGGAATTGATTGGATCGTTGGAAGTTGGGGCATTGCTAACAAAATGGAGGCAGATCTGAATGCCAGTTTTCAGTTAGTGGTGGGGGATTTCTCTCCACTGGATTCACAGCCGACACCCAAGCATGAATAAATGTTTTATTTATTAAGGATGACGATGACGTTCAACGGCACAAACCATGCCTAAACAGCACGCGCACACGCGAGAGAGAGAGAGAGAGAGAGAGAGAGACTGCCTGAATGACTGAGCGCGTCCTCCATCAGGTTAAGTCATATTCATGAAAAAAATTAGTTTGCGATGTCCTAAGAGTAATGTTGTCGTGATATCCTAATATCTTTTCAATGTTTAGGGGTAAGGTACTCCCTCATGACTGGTGTCAGTGCTATAAGGTGAAGCATCAGCTTCAGATTTCCCCCTGTCTTTTATCCCAGCGTTTAGCCCTCACATCACTAGCTCCGCCCTTGCGCCATAGCTCGTGACCGGAAGAGAAGATGAGTCGTTTTGAGGGGGAGGGGAGGTTAACGTTTTTGATTAAAGATTACGAGGGCACATGAATTTAAAAAAAATAATGAAGTGCCACGGATAAATTATTTATAATAAACACTACAGTATTCCATAAAAAAAATAACAATTTTCAATTTTGATTTCATGCCGACTTTAAGGGTAGGGAGAGAGAGAGAGCGTACTTCTGTTGCGTGATCTTTGATATTTCTGTCCCCCTCACTTCTGAAATGATGGCTACGCCCCTGCTACTTGTTCTACAGATCTGTGTGTAGGCTACTTGTGTTAAATGCTACTGTTTTTGACAGCGTTGATAACGTTTATGACAGATAATATCATGATAATTTTTGCGTTTCCCTTACCGAATGCCTTATCCTTTCAGCCGGCGATACAGTGTTGCCAGATATTGATACTAAAACAAACAAAAAACTGAAAATAAATAAAAATAAACCGAAATTATTTCCAATCTTTTGCAAATAAGATAAGATAAAGATATTGCTGACTCTAAACTGCAACTTCCTGCTTTATTCACTTTCTAAAGTGTTAAATTAAGTGGAAAAGACAAGTCCAAAAACGCTTATAATAGCTGGATCTGGCAACACAGAGGCTGCGCCCGCGCCCTCACTCACAACTTTCAAACTTCGTTCACTCCGCCAGCGTTTCGCAGCGATCATTTTCATACCAGGGACGCTAAACATTCTTGCAAACTGTCTAAACCGAATTATACATGTCATGCAGGCATTCATATGAGGAGTTTAACAGCAAATTAGTCATTCAAAGAACACATTTTATTTTTGAACATGAGAAAAAATTACCTAGGTGCTCGGTGGCCTCATAGCTGGTTAGGGGCCTTGTCCACAAGCCGTCATTTTCGCAGACTGGCTTCAATATAAGCTGTTTTTAGACTAACGAGAAAGTTTTGAGCTATGAAACTTACAGGATGTTTTTTATAGTACAATGACATATATGTGAAAAGAATTTTGGTGGCTGTTTGACCAATCAAATGAAATAGACGTTTCAGTCTATTGAAATGAAATGAAATATCAAAGCCATAAACCGATTTGTAAACCACAAACAAAATAAGAGATGTCGAGCCAAAATCTCGTTTTCCATTTGTTAAACAAAACGAAAAAAAAATGAGCCATCTTTCCATTTCTTGAGTGTACTATTCCTCCACGGAATGCAAACATTAAATTTTTGGTTCATAACGGAATGATCGGATGATACACTGAATGATACAGAGGAAGGATTTGGCATTTTATGTGTGTTATTAAAGAAATGCTATAGGTCTTTAAATAAAAAAAATGCTCAAAGAACCTTTTTCCATTTTTCCAACTTTTTAGAATGCATATTTCTTTTCAGTAGCTCATAACTGGAATGATTGTACTCGTGTTTTCTTCGGCTATAAAATGATACAGCTTACGTGATTTGACTCTATCACATTACGTTCACTCATAACTGTTTATATTTCTTTAATATTACCCATACGTTAATTCTTCGCGTTCGCAGTCTCCACCACAGCAGGCGGCGCTGTGCCACGAACCGTCGACGCCGAGCGAGAGACGAGGAAGAACTGGCATTTTGCCTTTCAAATAATCACAGTCGCCCACTGTCCATCATCTCTGCTGTTGTGAAAGCGCTTTGCGAGTAAGGTGCGTTGTGTTTCGAATATTTGCCGCTTTTTATTATCGAACGAATGAAAGTAGTCTCTTTTTCCATTGAAAAGCTGTCTTAGTCGTGTTAGCAGGCAGCTAACAAAAATCGCCAGTGCCTCACATTTTACCTGGAACTACAAAAGCTCGTGGGCTTCACTGTACATGATGGCAGCCAGTCTACAGCATCCGCTCTTTTATGCCTGTTATACTGCGTGAAATAATGTATATTTTTAACTAATTTTGAATTGAAACACAATATTAATATGTAAGATCTCGCTGTAAAAACGATGTAGTCTTTTTCATGCTGTGATAAAGATGTAAGTTAGTAAGCAATACGTTAGCCGATTCGTTGGCGAGATGGGTTTTTCTATTGTCTTGAGTCTGCTAACAGCGCTTCAGTCGATTCGCTCGGTTTTAAAATAAACCGCTCACACAAATATAAAAAACCCATGCAACTCATATCCCCTCCATTCTTATGAAAATGGTTTTTAGTGAGTGCATTTTTATATAAAAATATTTGTTTGTGTGTATATAATTAATGTACAGTTTTTTTTTTATAGCTGTTTTAGCGCTTTCTTAGCCAAAAACAGCATTTAATTCAGTTGCGTAATTTTTATTTACTTCCGTATTTTTTACTTTTTTTTTTTTTTTTACAAACGATTTTTTATCATCTAAAAACTATAATATTAATAGCCTTAGCATTATTTTATCAGTTGTGAATGAACTATATAAATAGATTCAGTGAAGTTGTTGAATGGTTAATATTATGTAATTAAACACAATAGTCCTAAGTGCCAAACAAATATATGAAATAATATCTTGTAAATAATAATTGATTTTGTTTCACCTAGACTTAAAGTCTGTTTTATATTAATTTATTCCTTTTTCATTGTCTGCAGTAAACTTATTTAAAGCTGCAGTCCGTAATTTTTTTTGGGTTAAAAATGATCCGAAATCAATATTTGAGCAAGTACATAACCAGCCAGCGTTCAAAACTATCGCCTTACTTTATCCTGTTTCACAACTGTTAGCTTATAATAATGTTCTTTAATTTGAGTGGTACGGGTAGGTTTTCGCGGGAAATTCGAGCATGCTGCTGCGTCATTACGTCACGTCTGTAAACATAAAGAAGTTGTCCCGGCTACTAGGCTATCGCATGTGAGGATCCTGCAGGTGGCGGATCGTTTATAGCCTTTTC